GGCTTCCTTTTGTCTGGCGTTTGACTGGGAAGCGCCATATTGAATGCTACCGTTACTGCTACTGTACAGCTCTGCTCCATGATAGAGTCTTATCAGCAGTCATTACAGGAGGTGTTGGTAATCCTGGCTGTGTGTCCGTCACTCTTCCTCTAGACCCTGGAACCTGGACTTCCACAGGAACTTCAATTCCTACTGAAAAGAGGACTTCAGACCTCTCAGCAACAGTTCACTTCTTTCTCTCTTTAGTCCAGGCAATATGTTCCTGATGCCTCTGCTTTATCGGTGGTTTAGAAGTATAGTGGAGCATGTTCTTTTTCCAGTTGCATCATCTAAATAAGTGGTCCTCCTAATTGTCCATCATTACCGGTGGTGAGTTTGACATAGTGGAAACATTGAAAGCAAGCTTGTATGAGCGATGCAAACAGCAACTTTTAAACAGACCATGCACGAGGAGAAATAGGCCTGTGCACGCTCTCGCATGCATTTAATAGGTGTTCCCTCTCGGGAGCAGGTACAGGGTTATGCATGCGTTTTTTTTTTTCCTAAGAAGAGTTTTCAAAATTTCGCAAAAAGTCCTCCACTATATCTTTGACATCAGGAATGTTACGGGAGTGGCTCATGTGTATGAAATCAGCATTTTGTCGTCATGGAGTCCATCCTGTCCACCTTCATTACTACCTGGATAAGCGCTGCCACCATCAGGGACCAGAACAGGCTGCAGCATATCCTCCCCTCTGAAGAGAGGATGATTTGCTGCAGTATTCATTCTCTTTAGGAACCGTACACCTCCAGGACCCTGGGGTAGGCAGGAAGGACTGTATCTTTAAGCCTTCCTAAACTGATTATTTTAGTGTTGGGTGATAATGACTGTCCAGTCAGGTCAGCAGTCTGTCTCACAACTTTAATTCAACCATCTCATGCGATACTCAGATCCTCTGGTAAATACATCTTAAATTCATCTTTAGTGTGTAAACAGCTATCTGAGTTTGTTTTGAAATAAGCCTCGTAATTAAGTGAAAGATGGTTGAGTTTTCCATGTAGTCTGATGGGTTGCACAGCCAGGCATGCCGTTTGAGTCTCATATTACTTTGCATTCAGAGCACTTTTGTGCATTGTGTAGAGCTGTAGCTGGAAATCAGCTCAAAATGACTCATACATCGATCATTGTGTAATAATGAATTTCAAAAGACTGAATGTATCTGAGATGGTTTGGAAACAACAGCAGAGCCGTCAATGGGCTGTTTCTTTCTCAACTATTACCTTACTCTGTGCATCTTTGTTTATTTACACATAAACTGGGAGCGGATCCCTCAGAAAGGGCCTCAGTGAGAGGTGTGAATAGCTGAAAAGGTGCAAATGGCTTGTCTAATTATATCAAACTTTGAACCTGTTTTGACCTGATAATCTGCATCCTGTTATGGTTAAGACAAGCCTGTGTTGGGTTTTGTGAATTGGAAAACTATAGAATTAGAACAGTGCAGATATCTTTATTTGACTAAAGATCAACTTGTTATAAAGATAAACTTGCTTTAATGTTTTGCTGAAACTGATCATTCCTCAATTTAGAAGAAAAAACAGTTGATAGCAACTATGAGATGCAAGTAGAATAAATGATTGAATAATTGTTTGATTTATTTTGAAATCCTTCACTTCAACTTAATGATCTAAATTCAAAAAGGATTCTTTTGGTTTTAGTCAATTCAACTCCTCCACATCATTTATACAATGTCAAGCAGGGTTAGAATGTTCCTGTAAAGCAAGGTGGAAGATGGAGGAGGATTCCATCTGTTGCAGCCAATGCTTCTGACTGCAGCGCGTTTGGCCCGTCTGCAGCCGCTCTGCCTCCAGCTCGGTAGCCACATGTGATGCGACTGAGCTGACCATGACCAATCCAGACCGGATAACATCAGAGACCGTTAATTAAAATGCTGAGGTGGAGGATGGAGCTGCAGGGGGTGCTGCTTCGTCCTCCTCCTCTACAGGCTCCTGATGCCGCTGGGGACTAATTAACTGGTCAGTGTGATTCACGCTGGTGGAGAAAAACCTTTCGATACCTTTAGAGTTTTTCCGACAAACACCGCTGCCATGTTAAGTTAGAAACTTCTGTGACTCAGAAGAATAAAAAGCAATCTTTCATAAAATAAAAATATATCTAATCAAATAAAAAAATCTTTTTTACTTCTGTATAACACAGCATAGTTTATGTACACAAGAAGCAAAATATTTACACAAACTAAAAAGGCAGAATCATTTATCTGAACAGTTTGACTAAGACGTTATCAGTCGGGGTAAGTTTCATCTAAAAGGGGGTCTTGTCAAAAAAACATACATAAAATAAAGCAATGCATGCAAAGCGTATTTCCTGATAGCAATTACTTTTACTTTCTCAACTTATAAAGATGTTTTGCACCAGGCTTAACCAGCAGACAGACATCGTTGCCCCCATCTGCTGGCTGTATTGACTCACACATCCTTTCCTAAATATTCAAGCTCTAGCTCATATCAGGGATCTGATCATTCCTTACGTTCCTAACAGAGCACTTCTCAAACAAAAAGTAAAATTAAATGTAGAATAAAAGGCATATATTTTAGTTATCAGGCTCCTCTCCTGTGGAAACAACTACCAGTTTTAGTCTGTGAAGCAGACACCCTGTCTACTTTAAAGGCTTAAAACATTCCTTTTTAATGGAACGGGTACCACTTTCCATAAATCTACTTTATTCCATCTCTATTCTCCCATTCTGCGGTGTTTATTAGTTCAACCTCTAACTTAAATGGGTCATAGAATGCAAAACTGTGTTTCCATTGTAATAGATGAATAGCGATAGTTCAGTGGGTGAAATGGACGTACAGAGAAATTCAAATCCCATCGACACCTCGGAGAAAGGGGAGCATTTTCATAGTCTTCCTAAGGGTTGTTCCAACCGTAAGGCTATATCAAATTTGGGAATGACGTGTCGACTGCTGGGCCGCTGACTGGACCGGACCTCAGCAGAGAGCCAAAGCAGAGCCGTTCCCAGCAGACCGTTTGCAGCTGGTCTGCTGCCATCAACACCTTTTGATTAGAAATTATAGAGTTGGGCCTGTTTCTCAGTACATAGTCCTGTTTCTCTCCAAGAGATAGCTAAGGGGTCAGCTTTGACTGCAACTGTACGTAATTTCTTTTATTACCTTTCACATCAAAACCAGCTTATAGTTTATCTGCTTAATAGTTTCTTAAAAGAGTCCCCTGTGGAGCTAGTTTACATTTACCTTTTCTAAAATAGAAATGTATATATAAAGCCTTAGAGCCTATAAGAAAATTGATCATTATAGTAATAAAAAAAGTGACCAAAGCATTGGCTTGTAGTTATAGATATCTAAATATTAAGGGAATGTTTGAACATCTTTGAATAGAAAGAACTATGTTCTAAAATAAGAAATCTTACCACAGCCAAATGCTGTTTGTTAGCTAGTCGACCCGTGTTAACCCGCTGATTTCAGATAAACAGCAGTTTTAAGTTCTAGTAAATCTTTTCCAGAAACTCCTATCCAAACATTAATAAAAAGAAAGTTAATTTTCCAACCAAATGCTAACAGAGAAACATTATTAAGGTAAGAAACAGTCAATCTATATAGAATTTCCTCTGTTCCTAAACCGGAGAGACTAAAAACAGCATTACCATCACTATATACTGTATTATTAAGGATGTTTATTCACACATCCATTAACTTAGCAGCCACATCCAAACACCATAGCAGCTTTAGCTCCTGCTTCAGTAAACACCTACATTCATACTGTATTCACAGCATCGTCCCTGTTTTATACCTCTGCTATTAAAATACATTTTTCCTTATCTTAGACTTTTTGATCATTATTTCCACACTTTCCTGGGAGGTGCTAGCCATAGAAGCCATAGTAGGGTACTTGTTTACTCCCTGCGCAGTGTTGTACCTCCTTTGCTATTGTAAATATACAATATTAGCTTTGTTTACTAACAAACAGAGCAAAAACAAAGGGTTAAATACAAAAATAGCCAACATAAGGTGGAAATCTTTCAGAAAAACTTAGTATAAACCAGAAAGGGCTACTAGCATATACGTTTAAAAGACTTCTTCATGTAACAATGTACCTTTAATGTAAGGATTTTTAAAGAATTGTCTCAGGTTTCCTCCAGCACAACATTTGGTTGCATCCACACAATTTCACAACAATAAAAGTAACAATTTATATTATTATTCTGCACAAACAACACTGGACAGAATTTAATTATGTTTTTTTTTTTCCTCCTCTCTTTTTAATAGGGACACACAGATCCACAATTTTTATTACTCTCAATTCAATTCAGATACTTAAATTTGTATTTCTGCAGGTTTGGAAGGATTCTCACATGACTGATCTGTCCAGCAAAAGCTGACCGATTTTTTTTTTTTTTTTAAACCCAATAAAACATTTATGAATCACAAAAACTTAGAAGGACAAAATCCACCCTGAAAAGACAGATGCAACTGTAAGATGCTGACGAAGGCTCAAACCTTCCTACTATTGAAGACATTTTTAATCCAAATTAAATTTATTATAGAAATAAACGCATTAGATCTGCCCCCATGAACCAGGACCATCATTTTCTGTAATATATGGACCGACACACTGCTTACCTTTTTGTGTTCTGTTGGCTTGGGTTTGGCACTATCCTCCTCATCAAACTTGAAGGATTTCTCTGCAGCCACGTCCTTCGGAGGCTGCAAGGAAACATTTTGTCTGACATCAGGCGATTTTCATATGGTTTTCATTTTACTAACTGAAAAGACAACATCCCAGTATATTTTGGGAGCTTTTTCTAAAGCCATAGAAAGACTTAATTCAGGTCTCTCTAAAAGACCATACTCTGCTCTAACCACAGTCTCAACGTCTTCCTCTTTGGTTACTAATAATACAAAACAATTTACAGAGATCCTTTCTAAAGCTACATAAGGATTAAGCATTTAAAACCAAAGGCTGAGTGTTTTTGAGTTCCTCTGAACCTCAACGTGATTAAACCTGACGTCCGGCATCGGGACCCTCAGCAAACTCAAAAACAGATCCGACGCACCTTTTGTTTATGAGTCACATATATAATTAGTTCATTGTGTTTAAAGCTCTGCAGAGCAAATCCAATCTAACAGCAGACATTATTGTTATTATGTCAGACATTATTAATGACATTTTTTACTCTATTATCTCTGGACTTTCATTCCTTTGAAAAGAAGTTATGTAAACTTTAGGATGAATTACCTGAATGACCTAATTTAAGCCTTTCTGAGGTCATTTTTAATGGGACAGCCTTTAAAGTTTAATTCAGAAGAGAAAGATTTGAATCAATGAAATCTAAAAACTGCAGATATAAAGTCTATAAAATTGATTTATACTAGGGCTGAGGCCTCTCTTATCTATTGAAGCCAAAAGAAATAAATCCATAATTTCCAAATATTAAATCTTCATATATAAATGATTTGATTCATAGATTAATTTCCCAGCCTTGATTTATACTCCAGAAACTATCTGATATTTTTTCACTTTTATCCATCATCGTCATTATATTTTACAAAGACTTTTAGAGATATATCAATACAAACTGCTGAGGATTGTAAAGAGGCGGGGCAATAATACTTCAGTTTTTAAATCTAAATCTGGAGAGTACATGTCTAAAGGTTTATGAGTCTACTAGATCTGTTCAACTAAAGACTCAAATGTTGCCTGTTTCTCTTTGAAGAACCTCTATCTTAGCAGCTGAATCCAAACATTTTAAGTCTGGTCACAGATTCTAAGTTGGATTTGGACTTTTACTGGGCCGTTCCAACTCACTACTAGGCTTTGATCTAAACCCTTTCACTGCTGTCTTGGTTGTTCTGAAGATGTTTGGCTTCCCATCCAGGAAGCTTTTTCAATTGAAAATGTCAGATATAGCGCTTAGTTTGGGCTACTATATAAAGCTTTAAACTCAACGCTATTTCTGACCTTTTTAACTGAAAAAGCTTCCTGGATGGGAAGCCAAACATCTTCAAACTTGAAAACCAAGTCCAGTGGATTGTTTTTTTTTTTTGTTCGTTTGTTTGTTTTGTTTTTTTACTTTTTTTGGAATTCTTATGTTTGATGAACCTTTAAGTCATTTTCTTATCAGGATTTTCCTCTAATTAGCTTCATATACCTTCCCATTACCTTGGAGCATTTTTTTATTCCCCCACGTGGTTACAGACTGAAACTGAAACTGTATTCTAATGATCCAATTGATTCTACCTCAATCCAACCTCTCTTCCATAAAACCCAGAACTAACGGGTTCCTCCACAGGTTTGTGCAGCTCCTCCAGAGTAACTAATGCATTCCTCGCCCTGTTTCAGTTTTACCCAAAAGTCTTGTCTCTGTACATATGGAGTTTTTTCTGGGTTTGTTTTATGTCAAGCCTAAAAGCTGGTTTATGCAGAGAAACAAGGTCGCCGCCGTCCCCCTGCCAAAATTGTAGGTGACCACAGACAGTGCAGCAGACAGGAGGCCTCTGATTAGTCAAATTTACATCCACTCTACACTATGTGTATTTCCTGTTTGGTACCTTACCGGCTCATTTTGTTTGTATGACCGCCATCGTGGAAAACGACTCGTGAAGATGGACCAGCTAGAAGAACGAGGTGTGCGAGAACGCTGGGACCCTTTTCCCACCTGGATCCCACTATTTTTGGCCCTCATGTCCCTCCGTTGTTGTACAAACTTGACCCCACAGCTAGTTTGTGATGGTCCCTCTCGCATTGTGGCATGGAATAACTTAGGGCCGCGCTTCATGCTGGGCATAAATCCAAAATATCTGCAGCAAGCTCACTGCGACACACTGCTGCAGGAGTATAGGCCCTTAAATAAGAGCCATGACCCTTACAAACTAGAGAGGAGACTACTAATGAAAACTGGGTTTGCTTAAAGGGTATCAAACTACAGACTGCTGAAAGCCATTTACCTTCTCCTTCCATCTAACCATGTTGGGCTCCTTTATAGTTATCAGACATTATGTCCATTTAAACATGGTTAAGTTAATAGTTATAGTAATTTAAAAAGTTTCCTAAGGTTCAGGTAAGCATCAGGATCTTCTAAATAAAAAATAAGTGTTTCCATTTCATCAATCTTCCCTTTGCTCCTTTTAATTAAAGTATTTTGTAAGAAGGCTGCAGGCTTTAAACTGGAACTAACCCCCACACACCCGCCTTTTTTTTGTAAAATCATCCTTACCGATTGTCCCGTGACAAACTGGCCCGGTAGCCTCCTGCCAGGCATCTTTGGTCTGTTAGCCGTTGGGTGAGTGAGTTTCTCGGAGGCTCCGGACAAGTCATCAAAACTCATCAGATCTCCTGAAAGCAGATGAGATGAGGAGACGTGGAGATAAGGAAAAGGACACAGCAGAGGGAAGTCGTGACTAAAAAGTACATCCAAGGGTGAAGTGACACAACCAATTTCATTTCATTACATATGAGTGCCTTTCAGCTTGCAGACAGATTATTTCCTGGCTGCTACTTAAATTAGCAAACGTGACAGCAGAGAAACAAGTCTAGAATGTGGGGTTTTTCTAGGGGTGATGAGCTGAGTTACGCAAACGTTTGCATAATCTACAAAAAAAAAGAACGCCTGAAGGTTTAAATCACACAAAAATGGTAGATAAAAGGGAGATACACGACTTAATGAAAGTCTGACCAACACACATATTTATAGGTTCTGGTGCTAAAATAATAATTAACATTCAAACAAACATCATTGCATAATGCAGTCATTCAGGCTGATTGATCATGCAGCAGGTGAAAGTCTGCAGCATTAAGGACTTGAGTCATTTTTTTTTTTACACATCAAATACAAAATAAGAATCCTGACAAAGAAACTGCGTGAAACTGTGAGAATCGATACATTACCCACTACCTGAAGATTTTTAAACTAAAGTACCCATTTAGCTAATGTGATCATCTGGAGTCACATTAAGTTTTGGGAGTTTTCTCTGGTTCAGTATGAAACGAAGCCCCATGGGGACCCAAAAGAATGGACTGGCAGATAAGTAAGGTCTCTATGGGGCATCCTGAGCAAGTCTGCTGATTTTAACCATCGCTCATAGTTTACTACAGCTTGGACAAATTTTCATTGGTCAGCAGTATTTTATTGCATCAGTACTGCTTTCCTCCACTTCATTCTCTGAATTGTAAACAATTAATATGTTTTAAAAAACAAAAATAACCTCCATGCAGGGTCTCATTTTTGCACCTAAGAAAACCCATTTAGGTCATTAACGCCATTCAGGCATGAGTTTTTTAGCTTAGAAGTAAAGGCTGTAATCTCACAGCTATGTTACCGGTTGTTTTTTCATTTCATGATTTGGATGAGCAAGAGGTGAAATATTAATGCTGGAAAAAACATTTAGGAAGATTGTAGAAGAAAGTAATAAACTTATATCAACACTAAACAGCAGATGGTGGATGTTTTTTTGGGCTGCAGTGGCTGATAAGGTGAACAGATTCCTGAACTTTCCTCTAATTTTAGCATCTTTGAATTTCTTTCATTCTTTACAGATGAATTCATTTCCACCACGATTTTTTTTCTAATACTATTAGGCTAAAGTCAACAATCCTTCAACACTTTAAGCTTTTTCCCCATTATAAAGGATTGCTACAAATGAAAAAAAAACAGCCTTTGAAAAAAGGAAATTAAAACATAATTGGAAATATTTCAGATTCTCAGAATGAAAAAACGCTTTTTTTCCTGCAGTAAATTAAGAAGAAGCCATTAAAATAAAAAAACACTAATACTTTATTATATTTTTCCAGCAGATTTCTATCAGAATGGCGAGGTATTAATTTAAGATCATCCAATGTGACGAACAGCAGGAGTCCCTCAGAGCTCTTCAATAAAACAATATAAAAAGTGTTTCTGCTGCAGCCTGCCACAGCACTTTGCACCCACTCTGCAGTAATCGCCTGCAAACAGAAAGCTCTGCCTGTAATTGCAGGAATGATTGAGTTTTCATGTTCACCCGCCAAGTGTGAGTGAGTGTTTTGTGTGGAGCGGTTTTAGCACCTTCACCGGCTGCTTGTCGGGAGGAGACATCTCTGAGGGATGACATGCCTTCAGGTCGGCCTCATTCAGCCATCTGTGATGTCGCCCCACTGTGACCTTTCAGCCTCCCATGTGTCCCCGTTTATCGCTACACTTTCCTGCTCTTAAAACATTAGTCCCAAATCTATTTATTCCTCAGTGAAGTCTGCTGCTCCCTGGTTTCATTCACTCTGACTTTAGCTTCACACAAGTGCTGCACACATCTCTGCTCCTTCAGGGATGAAGGAACAAAGGACTTCTATTTTTTTTTTACTTTAGTGTCTTTAAAGAAATGAATCAGTTTGATTAGATGAGGGTTGAATGAAGTGCTAAATAGTGGATAAAGTGACGTCATGGAAACCAGAGAACAGTTTCATGCGGTAGACTAGCCATTAAGACCACTAGTCACAATAACTGAAAGAAATGCCGTTCCTCAATATGTGTACTTGTGCGTTCTCATGTACTCGTGAAACGTCATCAGCCTCAGCCCTAGCACTGTTCCAATTCACAACAACAAGAAAACTGAGAACGGACTAAGTCCCTGGATTATGTTCTTGCCCCTCCCTCTTTACCCAGCATGCATCAGAGCAGAGTTGTCTGTTCTTGAGATTGACAGCTGTCCCAGCATGCACTGCGGCAGCAGCAGCTACCAGGGGAGCGCTCACAGAGCTCAGAGTATTAAGTAAAGAGTTATCTTTTCTGTTGCTCTTGTAAAATAAACCATGATCATAAATTTGGACGTTAAGAACCAATGTCCATGTTTCATCGTAACATGATAACAGGTAAGAGGATGCAGTTTTGTTCATGAACAGCTGTGAGGTCTCTCTTCTCTGCTCTGCAACCCCATCTCAGCCAACTGGGTCCATGGGGCCAAGGCACACCTCCAGGAGGGATCCTGTGGACATTGGTTCTCAATGTCCAAAATTACGATCAAGGTTTATGGCACAACACTGTTCAATATAATTATGTTTAAAGATCA